CTGGCCCGGGCCCCATCACCTCCATCCCCGATTCGCTCGGGGGCCCCTTCGCCAGCGTCCTATCTTCGCTCCAAAGACCCAACGGTGCCAAAGCCACCTTAGTGAAGAGCAGTATGTTCTGATCTGGGATCCAGTGGAAGCGGCGACGACAGCGGGCGAGCCAGGGCCCGGGCGGGCGAGTGGGCGAGCGGGTAGGCCCAAGGCTATTGTCGCCGCTGCTGCCGTGGCTTTTTCCTCGAGGGCCTGACATAATAGAGATACAAATAACGAGAAAACGACGTCGCCTCCATTTCAACCCCACCCTACCCCCTTCCTCAACCCCAACAAAGAAAAACAACAAAACACTACAAAAAATGGCCCGGCTTCCAACCTGCCCGGCTCAAGTGAGCCAGGGCTCCTCCTGCGGACCGGGCTGTGGGCAGCGCGGCCTGGACTCGGGCGCTCTCAGGGGGCTGGGTCTGCCTGTCGGGTGTGTGTCTGACTCGGGGACGTTGACTTCCTTCCTCCGAGCAAGAGACAGGGAGAGGTGGGGGGCCGCAACCAACTCAGTGACTTGCGTTGAAAAAGACAGAAGGAAAAACATTAAAAATTTGGAAGGCAGCGTACATCTAAAAAATCAGAAAGATTTAAAAGATCCAAGGTGAACAAAAAAGACAAAGTAAAGGGGCTCGAGGGCAGAAGCTGCAGCTGGCGATGGCCTTGAGGGTTCAATCCCATGAACCCCCAAATTCGCGTGCTCCTGACACCACAGACTCATTGCGGGCTCCTTTTCAGGGCGGGGGGGGGGAGAATAGGGATGCCTTTGCAGCCCCCGTTCCCTTCGTGTTCTCGAGTTCGGGCCACTTGCTCATACTGTCCTGGCAGCCAAAGTGACTTTATCGTGCCCGCTTGCCTGTCCCCACCTCGTCGGACACCGTCCAGCCATTAGCGCATTTGAATCTCACTCCGTTGCAACTCCCAGCCCCGACTCTCCGCAGCCTCTTGGCCCTGAACGATGCCCTATACATGAGATGCCTTTTCATCCACAAACTGCAAACTGTGTCTCCTAGTTCACAAGTCATTTTTTTTTTCTCTCTCTCTCTCCCACCACCCCCACCGGGCTTTTTCTTCTTCCACCAGCTTTTACTGAAAATTTTGGCACTGCTTTGGATTGGAGTCAATTGCAGTCCACTTAGTTGACTGCAAAGAAATCTATGGAGTAAGGAAAGGCACACACATGTTTGTAGAAGTGTCTCGGTTTGCATTTCTGTTTGGATGATCCGAACTGGACTCACATCCTGTAGGGTGGATGGACTGTATATTGATGATTCCATTCTTTGCGCAGTTTAGACATCTCTGTTGGGATTTGGTTTTTTATTTTTATTTTAAAAGGCACAAACTATAGATATTAGTTGAATGTTGAGGCTTTAACTTTTTCGGTGTCTTTCTACAACTGTGTTCTGTGACTCAATTGTATCGTGTTAATATCAGTACAGACCGTCTCCTCTATGTGACCGTATAATGTTTTTTCTTCTTGTAGTCTCTATGGTGTGTCTCTATGGTGTAATAAGGTTCTCACGGGTTCAATTCTTTTGTGTTTAGAGAGACCACAGTTCATACAATGGTATATATTTTTGTTATCAGGTGCATGTCTGTCTGATTTCTTTTTTTCTTCTTGTTGGACTCTGTTTGTGAACATAATCATCATAAATTATGTTTCAGATTTTCAAATTTATTTATATGTGTTATAATGAATGCTTCTATTTAAAAGGGAAATATTTCTACATGTGCATATAGTTTTCCAAGAGTGTACCATTAACTTGATTGTTGATAATAAAAACAAAAAGCGAGTCTAAGCAATTGAACTCTTCTGGCTTTTTCTTGATTCATTTTTTACTTGCTTGTGTTTTAAATTTAGAGATGTTAAAAGAGGACAGAGGGAGATTGTACCAGACAGAAAGAGGACTGCACTGGCTCTATTATTTTCTTTTTTCTTCTTCTTCTTCTTCTTCTTTTTCTTCTTCTTCTTCTTCTTCTTTTTCTTCTTCTTCTTCTTCTTCTTTTTCTTCTTCTTCTTCTTCTTCTTTTTCTTCTTCTTCTTCTTCTTCTTTTTCTTCTTCTTCTTCTTCTTCTTTTTCTTCTTCTTCTTCTTCTTCTTTTTTTTTTTTTTTTTTGTACCGGGGATTGAACTTGGGTCCTTGTGCTTGCAAGGCAGGCCACTGAACCACTGAGCTAAATCCCCAGCCCTGGCTCTATTATTTTCTATGAGTTGGGTATTTAAACCCATGCATCCAAATCTAAAATTTAGTACTTGGGATGGCAGATGTGACTCTTCTGTTGGTGCATCTTTCCCAGTTACTGGAAGCAAAAAAGCACTAGACATTGACAAAACTGTTCACATGGTGCTTAAGCTGCAGCTGTGGGCTTAGTGGTATCCCAGGTAGGATTTGGATACTGGTCTTGGGGTTGGATTTGAAAGTGTAGGAGCCTGAGGGACTCATTGCATCCAGTGATGTCTGGGTGGTCTAGCCTCCCTAAACCTCAGACTGCTGGTCACCAGAGATAACTGAGAGTCTCTGTATGGGCAGGTGGATCACAATTGCCTCAGGGCTTTGGGCTCCAGGGCAGCTCTGCAGCAGTGATGTATTTGGGAGAAATTACACCACTGGAATTTAGGAAGCACTATGTATAATAAATTGTGTTTCCATGCATTATCTCATCTGTGCTTCCAAATAAGAACATAAAGTAGGCCCAATTCCTATCTTTTTTTGGGGGGGCATAACAAGTGAGGAATATAAAGAGAACAGAGAGGTTTAATGAGTTTATAAGTCCTGGACTTATGAATGATGGGGCCAGCCTTTGAAGCCAGGAAATCTGATGGTGGAGCCTACTCATTAATTATACCAGTGGTTCCCAAAGTATGGTTCCCTGGCCAGCAGCATCAGCATCACTAGGGTATTTGCAGACACAAATTCTTCCACTCTACCCTAGACTTACTGAATCTGAAACTCTAGACATAAGGCCCAGCTCTAACAAGCTATAAAGAGAATATGAAAACCGCTGAACTATACTGCAAGAAACCCATAGGAAAAGTTCCAGAATTGGGATGAGGTTGGGAGCAGGTGTGTGTGTGTGTGTGTGTGTGTGTGTGTGTATGTGTGTGTGTGTGCACGTGAGCACATGCATGTATGGGTGTGTCGTGCCTGGTAAGTGCATTGATCCTCTTTTAGAATAGAGGGCTTATCACCACAGCCCCACAAAGCATGCCCACTGTCCTTTGGACTGTTGACGAGGCCACCTTTTCCAAGAAGAAACTTATGAATACTTCAGTGCTTCCTTTAGTATCTCCTTGGGCTTTATCAATAAACAGTTTTATTGCCCTTGCTTGGGGGGAGGCCACAGTCTGCCTCCTCTGGCCTGAGTAGCAGCTGATTTGGTTTGACTTTGTCAAGGCTTCTCACCATAAACAACTAGACATGGCTTGTATTTAAACAGGCAGATATATTCCGAAATCTCACACCTTTGGGTCATATTAAACTTCTAGTCATATTTCTAGAAGGCTTTTAAAGAATATTTTAAAAATGCCATCTCAAAATGCCTCTCAGTAAACTCACCAGGACAATATTGCTTATAAACCATGCCATTAATTGTGCTGGTCTAAAATGCCAGCAATTGCCAGATCCCTTTGGCCTCAGTCTTTGGTTGTAAATATAAGTTTAGAAAGTCAAAGAGAATGAAAACCTCAGGCATAAATTTATTGACAAGAGCATTCAAAGCCCAGGTAACCTAGCCCTGGGCTTGGCTAGAGGAAGATTATCCTTCCTTTGGGCCTTGAGCCCACCCAGTACAATTCTGTGAGCTGATGGGCAGGTCAGTGGGGTGGGAATTCTGTAGGAAGCAAGACTAAGCAAAGGAAAGAAAATAAAAAGTGGAGAGGGAGAAGAATTTTTAAAAGGAGGAAAAACCAAGTGGCCACAGAAGAGTTTTTGGAAATTCCAGTAAAGGCCCTAGATGTCCACATATTAATAAACTGGATGAGGGCCCCCCAATTCCCTTCTCCTGGCTTTGGTCTACTTTCATTGACTTGTCTCTAGGAACTGAGGAACTCGGGATTGGTGAGGAAACCATGCTTCCCATTTCTCAAACCCCAGAAGCCCAGCTTTCTGAAGGGATGCAGTGAAAGATGCCTGGAAGCACCTAATTGACTATTCTGAACATTATCTTCTTTTAACTTGGGTCACTTCTGCTTCTCCTACCTCTGCTTCTCTTCCTTCCCAAGTAGGAAGCTGTTGGGAGGACAGTAAAACAAAATGCAAAATACTGTCCCTGTGATATGATGGAGCCTAGTGTTAGGACACTGCATCTCTCGAATTGTGTCATTTCCTTGGAGCACTGCACAGTGTGAACAAGCTCACTTTCACTTTTCCTCTCCTAAGGAATTTGCATTTTGGCTCATCAAGGCTTCTTTTTTCCTGGCAACTCCCAGCCCACACGTGACTTCACAAAAGCTGCATGAGCCAATGCCAGGTACCTATCCTGAAGCCAAGTTCCCTTTAACATGGCCTGGTGCAGAGAACCAGTGTAGTTTCAGGAAGGAGATGATCCCCCAGCAATTAGGAGCTGCTCAGAATTCACTTCAGTTGTGTTTCTTTGTGGCTAGCTCATGTCAGGATGATAATCCCTGGCTTAGAGGAGCCTCAATTCAAGGAAGGGATCTGTATGACTGGGGATGGCAAATAACTTAATTCCTCTGATCCTGATTCATCAAAAATAAATATGAACAACAATAATGATACAAACAGGGAGGTTGCTGAGTGGATTAAAAACACTGTACCTATAAATATTTGGCACAGTAGTAAGTTCTCAGCAAGTATCAGATATGATGATAAGGATGATGGTGACGACGATGATGATGATGATGATGATGATGATGGTGGTGGTGGTGGTGGTGATGATGAAATTCTTGGATCCTTTCTTGATCCTTCAGGGTTCAGAACATCACAAAAAGCCCTCAGATGTCAGTGGTCCAGAACACAGCATATGAGTCAATATGCAAAGGTCGAAATTGGTGAACTTTGGTGAGGTTGGACAGTAACAGACTAGAATCAGCCAAAGGTTCCAAGTAATCCTTACTAACATCCAT